GAGCCAAGTCGATATACTTGATCAGTTTATCTTTCTCGGCTTTCACAAGGTTCTCGTCATGTGGGACGGCTATGTCAACAATCATTGCACGCCTCTCCTTCCGGTCCACCACCACAATATCAGGCTTATTGGCCACAATAGTCCTGTCAGTGATGATAGACCGGTCCCAATACAAGGTGATATGACCATTATCAAGGACTGGGTCGGGCTCATACCTGTAGTACGGCACTTCCGATTCCACAAGAGAGTATTTCAGAGCAAGCTGCTGATGTATGATCCTGGCTACAAGGTTGTGCCTATGCAAGTACTCGCCGTTAGCTAGACGAGAACAACCAGAGATTATGTGACGAATTGATTCTCCCGGACGGTGACATGCCCGACAGATGTCAACCGTGCCGTCCTTCACAATAAATCTCCGGTAGTTATTCGTCATGATAACTTCGTCCATAATTGCACAGACAAACCCTTCGGTTTCCCCAAAGAGGTCACCAAAACGCAGCCAGGCTACGGACGCCACCTGGTCTACATCCGGTCCATGTAGGGCTCGGAAAAAGCGTCCGTGAAGCTCCTTGCTCTGCCATACTTCCCTGCGAGCGTTAGTGTCAAGTACGATTATTATTATTATATTATTATATTATATTATATTATATTATTATTTGGGGAGAAAACCCTTTTCTTAGCTTTATTAGAGCTAGTTTTATCCATATTTACGGGCCAGAGCCAAGTAAATACAGGGTGTGGTGAGTGACATTAATGTTTGTGGGTGTAGTCATGTGATTGGTGTGTTGTCTTCTATTTGCATGAACTTCCTGACAATTCTGCAGGTATTTAAGATGGCTGCTTTCTGGATGGTTATATACAATGATTCTCTTAAATCTAATAATTTGAGGCTATGGAGAAGATGGTTAGGTATTACTCCTGTGGTGGAAATAACTATTGGGATTACATAAACTTTATTTTGTTTCCATATTCTGCTTATTTCGTCTTTTAATTCTGCATATTTAGTAATTTTTTCAGTTATTGTTTTCTGTAAATTGTGGGTATTTGGCACTGCAATATCAATTACGTAGGTAATTTTATGTACTTTGTCTTGTAGCGTTATGTCCGGTCTATTATAATGTATTGTCCTGTCGGTAAGTATGGCGCGATCATAATAGAGTTTGTGCGTAGTATTTTCTAAAACAGTTTCTGGTGTGTATTTGTAATAAGGGATGTTTGTGTTTTGTATAAGTGTGTGTTTGAGTGCGAGTTTTTGGTGAATAATGTTTACTATCTGGTTGTGTCTGTGTGTGTAATCGGTTTGTGTGAGCGTGGCACAAGCTCCTGTTATATGTTGTATAGTTTCTGGTTGGTTGTGGCATTTGCGGCACTTATCATCGGTTACTGTGGGGTCTTTAATTATATATTTCCTGTAGTTTTTGGTATTAATAATTTGGTCCTGAATAGCTATCATGAATCCCTCAGTTTCCGGGAATAAATTTCCTATCTTCAACCATTTATTTGAGGCAATGGTGTTAACGTGAGCTTGCTCTAAGTCATGTGGGTGTCGGCCATGAAGGACTTTACTTTTCCAGGCTTCTAACTTCTCTTTTTGTTTGTCGATTTCGTTACTGTTTTCTGTATCTATTGGTTCGTTTAAGTTAAGTGGTGTGTAATTGTGATCGTTAGCAACTATGGCTTTATGGATGTGACTTGTTTGAGATTTCATGTAAAAAAATGATTTTAAATTGCAAATTTGTTTTTGCCATAGATGACAGATGTCTATTAGGCCTCTTCCTCCGTTTTGCCTTTTAATTGTGAGCCTCTCTATTGCTGATTTCGGATGTAAATTATTATGTTTTGTCAGGGTAGTGCGTGTTGTGCGTTCTAGTTGTTCAGTGTCCGTTTTTGTCCATTTTATTATACCGAATGAATAGGTTAATACGGGAACAGCGTAGGTGTTGATGGCTTTTATCAGATGTTTGCCTGAGAGTTGGGATTTACAAATGGCGTTTAATCGTCGTTTAAATTCAGCGGTGAGTGTATTTTTTATTTTAATGTGATCAAATCCTTTTAATTGCGAATAGCCTAAATACTTATATACGTCGCTTGGTTCCAATGCAGTTATTATATCGCTACCGTTCACTGCATAGTCACCAGGTCGTATCTTGCCTCTTACAATGTGTAAAGTCTTGCATTTGTCTAACCCGAATTGCATATTGATGTCTTTACTGAAAGCTGATGTAATATCTATTAGATGTTTCATTTCTTTTTCAGATTTGGCGTAAAGTTTAATGTCGTCCATGTAAACTAGATGTGAAATTTTTGTTTCTTTGGAAGTATGTTTGAGGCAATACCCGGCCTGGCAACTCTGCAGTAAATGGGAAAGGGGGTTTAGGGCGAGACAGAACCACAAGGGGCTTAGGGAGTCGCCTTGATAGATACCTTTCTTAATGTTGATCTGTCGCGTACAAACGTTATTGGCGGTAGTGCAGACACGTAGCGTAGTTTTCCAAAGAGGCATTATGTTACGAAGGAAATTTATAATTCCTTTATTTATTTTATAAATCTCTAATACTTGAATCAACCAAGAATGTGGGACACTGTCAAAGGCTTTTTTATAGTCAATGTACGTGCAATGCAGATTTCTATTTTTTGATATTGCTTGTTTGTGTATAGTAGAATCAATGATAAGCTGTTCTTTGCACCCCATGTGACCCCGTCTACATCCCTTCTGTTCTTCTGCCATTATTTTGTGTCGTTCGATGTGGGAAGTGATTTTTAGTGTAATAGTTGATGTCAATATTTTGTAGATTGTGGGCAAACAGGTGATAGGTCTGTACTGTGAGGGTTGTCGTGAATGTTTAGCTTTAGGTAACATGTACGTTATTCCTGTTGCTATAAAAACCGGTATTCTTTGCTTTCCTAGTATTATTTCAGTTAAGTTTTTTGCAATATATTTATGGAGGATAGTTAATTTTTTAAACCAAAAGTTATGTATTTTGTCTATTCCAGGTGACTTCCAATTATGTAGTCTAGCTGTTACGTTTGCAATATCAGTTTCCGTGATCTCTTTAAATTCCATTTCCTCTATACTTCTCCATTTTGTCAATTCTTCTGCTATCCAGGTCGCTTTATCGTTATGACTTACAGGTTCTTCCCATATTCCTGCCCAAAATGCTTCTAATTGTTCTTTGGATGGTATTGTATTCGATTCATTTGTTGTGTTGGTGTGTGTAGTATTTAGTTTTCTATAAAATAGTTTTTCATTTGTTGTAAATAAGGCGTTATCATTTCTTCTTTGTTGTGCTTTTTTATATCTTTTAAGTCTGTGTACTTTTAGAGCTAGTTTTTGTTTTAGGGTGTCTAGGTATTCTTCAGGTTTACTATTATTATTTTCGTGTCTGGTGTGTATTTGTACATTTTTGAAAATGGTCTCTACTCTTTTGACTACTTTATGTGAGCGGTTGTTGTTAATATATTGTGTGAGTCTACCACAGTCTGCTCTTAGTGTGTCTATATCTTTTTCTAATCTCCGTTGCCATGGTGGCTTAATGCTGGTTCTTGGTGTTCTGTTTCCAGTGTCATCTGCTATTTTAAAATTAAGTTCTTCGGAAATAACTACGGCTGTGCAATATATAATAGTGTGTAAATCTGTCAGTTGACTGTCATTCGATACAAATTGCGAGATAACGCTTTCATTAAACAAGTTTACTAAGCGGAAAAGGTTACGATTATATCTGAGCTTTGGTAACCTTGGTCGTGATGCGGGATCCATACCTGAATATAGTGTGAGTGTCATTTTAAACTTATCGTAAATTTGTTGTATGTTTTCGTCCGTGATTGGTGCTAGTTCTACTGCGACCAAGGTGTCGATATCATTTTCTAAAGTTAATGTGATAGATTCTGTTTGTGTGGACGAGTGCGTTGTTTGTGTGATGTTGTATGGCTGAGAATGCATGCTAAGCGGTTGAGTTGGGGTGATCGATTGTGTTTGTTCATTTTGTGGAATTAAAGCTGAATTATTACTATTTTCCGATTCTATTTCTAATCGTTGCCGTGCTTCTTCTTTAAGTTGATCGATTACATCTTGGGATAATAATTTATTTCTAATTATAATTCTCCTTTGGTCTGAAATCCGCTGTTCGGATACGTTAACTTGTGGGTATTGTCGACAGAAGAGTTCATGCAAAAGTTTTCTATAGATTGTCATGTCAGTCTCTAGTTTTGTTAATATTATTATTATTATTATTATTATGTTTGTCTTTACCAATCACGGGACCACAGGGTCCCGGTCATTTGGAAGGCGTACGAGGGGCCGGAGCCAACTGCGCAGAGGCCCTTTAGACAACTTTAATCTAATTGAAACGGGACACAAACCGGCGACTATCCCTGTATGCACTATGGAAATGCACCCAAGGACAGTCCCCGGTTAGTGTAGGACTATTGCGAATGATGGAAACAAAATACAAGGCTATGGGTGTGGGTTGCTATGTGCTAGTAGGATGGGAACTATGGAAGGACTATGGCACCTGCCGAAACAATGTAAATTATACACGTAAAAATGGCAGGTGGAGACTCGCCAACTCACCGACCGGGCCCCCGGGAATGGTTGCTAGTAATAGCAACAGAGGGACAACGGAAATGTGAGTGGCTGAAGGGTGAAGAAACTGCCACCAGCTTTCTACTCAGATCATCTGCATCTGCCTAAGCATCCTGCATCACTGGCCCACTCGCCGCTTACGAACAGCTTCCACCCTCCGAGCAGGATCACTACTCTCGCGACTCCACTCTGGACGGCCAATGAAGGCAAGCCAGAGGTGGGAGACCTGTTCCTCGTCATCGTTCACTCCGGCCAGCCAATGAAGGCAAGCCGGAGCTGAGGAACGGTGACTCCTCCCTGGAGCAATCGGGATGATGGTAGCCCGCGGGATCGCTAATTCCCGTCACCTCGCCTCAAGGTGCCCTGCGGGCTTTATTATTATAATATATATAAACATTTTGTCTGTCTGTTTGTTACAGGACGTTATTCACACAATCAGCACACCACACGGACAAGTACAGAGGATCGTCGTGTTCAAGAAAAATGGAGTTCAAGCCATGGTTGAATATCCTTTTCAATACAATCACGTTTTTCGTTGTGGTATAAAAGGCTGCCGTGCTCAGCTCGTTTCGGGTCAGTTTTGGGTCTGTGTGTACTGTGTTCGCGTAAATGTATTATTTGTTAACACACGACACAGGATAAAAGCAAAGCAAGGGCAGGTTTTCATTAAAAATATATATACTAGCAGACCCAGCCACGCGTTACTGTGGCTAAGGTAAATAATATTGTGACTATAAATTGAGATGTAAGCTATCCTATCTTTCAAGTTGGATCAAAAAGCACACGGAATGCAAATCAAATTTAAAACCGGCTTAGTAGTTTAGGAGTCCATCGCTGACAAACACGTGACACGAAATTTTTATATGTAAAGATTAAAGAACCAAAGTATAGAAAAATGTTTTTTTATTAAAAACAGATGCTTGGTCAAGGGATCACTGATAGCGGGCTGTGAATAGGTAATTCTACAGACCAGTAGAAATTATTTTGTTTAGTTTCATATTAGTTTTGTAGGTATCTATAATATTATCATCAGCCAGTCAGTAAAGTAATACATAATTTTTTTCTGTTTTTAAATCCGATAAAATTAGACAAAGAAAATTAGAAAGTAAGTAAGCGCTCCTATTTGCTCTCGTCCCACCTAGGGAAGGAGAAGAAACTTAATAATTTTCAGACTTCAAAAAAATAACACTATAAAGTAGAAAGTACACTATAGACTTAGAGAGACACCTACTGTGTCAATCACGGCACTGAAAATGTTTGTGAGTGACAATGTAATGTAATAGGTCGGCAAACGGATTACCTGATGGTAAGCAATCAGCGTCGCCCATGGACACCCGCAACAACGGAAGAGTTACGTGTGCGTTGCCGACCTTTTGGGGATTAGGGATTTGGACATTTTAAGGTTTCATAAAAAAAAACGTAATATATTTTACGGCTCGATCTAATTAGAAAATAGTAATTTAGTTGTTGCTTTAATAAATTGTTGTTATGTGTATCATTACGAACAAAGTTTACGACCGCCATTAAACTAAATTTTACGCCCACCAACGATTACTTTACAGTTTACTGCGCGGTAAAAATATAGCTTTTTAATTACTAATTAAAAAATTGTACTGAAGTTTCGACTTTTTATGTGATAAGACGGTCAACGAGCATACGGATTACCTGATGGTAAGCAATCGGCGTCCCCATGGTCACTCACAACAACGGAGGAGTTACAATCGCGTTTCCAACTTTTGAGGTTTAGGGTTTTGGAGATTTAGGGATTGGGGATTGGGATTAATTAGGAAAAAATGACCATGGGAATTGCCCAGGTTTCGAGCTCGCTCGCTCGGGGATTAGGGTTTTGGAGATTTAGGGATTGGGAGAGGTGAAGCATAGGATTGGGCGTTCAGTAGCCTCACTCGCACGGCGAAACACAAAGCTGTGGTTAATTCACGCCGGTTTTCTGTTAGGGCGTTGAAGCTAACTTTTCACAGATACATAATATTAATACAGATTTATTGAATGCCAAAAAATAACACAAAAACTTGAAAAAACAAAGGTCGTGTTATATTATTTATACCAACCATGACTAATGTTGGCATTAACAAATGATTTTTATGTAAAAATTCTATGATGCGCGTGAGTTGATCTCTTTAATGAAACGCCTTTGATAATGGATCCAGTTTCAAAGCGCTGTCTGTAAACTAAATAGACGTATTTATTTGTGATTTTTGTGTGCTATTTCATTTATTATAATTTGTTAAATGCAGGGAATTAGCTTTGTGATGTATATTAAGACTGTTGGTGGATTTTGGTCCTTTACTGTCGAGGGTACGAGGATAGATTTCTCATTGGGTCATCAAAGACAGACCTCCATAGATAAGGTGAATAGGGTCGATGTTCCAGTTTTTTTTTTGTGTCAGGGGAAAATCATCAAATGACCTCTCCCGCCCAGGGAAAGCGAGAGAGAGTGTCAGACTCTTACTGACTAAAAACGCCCGTTCCTTCTCCTGCTCTGGGCCGAGGCCGCGGTGACTCATTGCGCTTAACCCGCAACCCGTCGATATTCCAGCTGGAGTTGCGGTTTAAACGCAATAATCTACCGCGATCCTGGGCTAGAGCAGGAAAAGAATTGCGTGGTTTTTAGCCAATAAGAGTCTGAAACTGCTTTAGACTGGGTGAGCCAGGGTGGGAGAAGTTATTTGATGATTTTTCTCTTACAAATAGAGGAGATTTGAGCATATCAAATTCAAAATTAAATACGCCATAGCACAAGTTAGGAAAATCATTTTAATTTCTACAAACTAAAAATAGCCTAAAATTCGGAATAGGTAAACTGGCTTCTTGAAGAAGACTCGTTTGCTTTGATTAACTAAATTCCGTACTCAAAGATGACGATGACGACGACGAATGATTACTTAAACAATTCATTCGATTTAGTTTTGGAAACTATCGCTATACTTGAGTTAAATTATCATAAAATGACTCTGAGTACAGTGAATAGTACTTTTAAAAAATACGGAATTCAAAATGTCCTCGAAAATATTCGAATTCGTTAGTAAGTTAAGTTTATTTTACAAAAATACGATTCTCTTCGACAGCATCTCTTTAAATGTGGCGTCCGGGAATTTTCAATACTATAAATAAATGGACGAATGAATCCGTATGATTTACAGTTGGAATTGTAACCGTACGGAAAATATTTGCTGTTTGAATTATTGGTAACACGTGGCGTTGTGACGGGATGTCTGTTACACCGTTGTGTAGTTCGCAAACTACTTTGCTATTTTGATTTGTAAATTATAAGAAATGAGGTAATGATAATGTTTTTTTTTTGTTTCTTAAAGAGGTTGCTAAGTTACCGCATTGATGTTTTAGATCGTTTTTTAGTGGCGAGATCGCCAAACAGTCAGTTTCTGGTTATTATAGTCTTAATAACGTTTAACGCATCTATACTTATATACATTATATTATAAAGCTGAAGAGTTTGTTTGTTTGAACGCGCTAATCTCCGGAACTAATGGTTCAAATTGAACAGTTATTTTTGTGTTAGATAGTCCTTTTATAGAAAAAGGCAAAATATAAGCTATAAAACATTACGCTAGCTAGACTGATAAGAGCCGACCAGTGGTTTCTGCCACAAGCCATTGCCTTCATAAAAGGTGACTTCCTATAATGTTTTTCAAATGCCTATCGTGACTAAAATAACATGTTTTACATACACATACTAGAAACTACTTAATACGGTTTACATAATCACAACAATAATCGAACAAGGTACGTGTGTCGTGTTTATTTCCAGAGAAATACATTTGTATACCTCATGTACCATTTATTAAATAGCTTGTAAACATTTGATTGATGATTGTATTAACACGAGAACATGTTACCTACTACATGTTTAACAAAAAATAAATACATCTTACGAACACGTCACGCGTCGGTGTGATATAAGTCGACAAGGCCAGCGGTGCGTTGACTTACGTTTTAAACAAATAACTTTTTTTATTTTATTAATCTTTTATTTCATTCTATATTTTATGTGATAGGATAGCAAAAAAGGCGTATTTTCTGATGGTAAGCTATTGGCGTCCGTAGACTATTCGAAACATACCAGAAACTTTTTTTTTATGGTATAAGTCGGCAAACGAGCCGAGAGATGGATTACCTAATGGTAAGCAATCGGCGCCGCCCATGGACATCCGCAACACCAAAGGAGTTACGAGTGCGTTGCTGGCCTTTTGGGGATAGGGGTTGCGGATATAAGGATCGGGAAGGGATGGGGAAAGGGAAGGGATTGGGCCTCCGGTAACCTCACTCACACGGCGAAGCACAATGCTGTGGGTTGTTTCACGCCGGTTTTCTGTGAGGCTGTGGTATCACTCTGGTCGAGCCGACCCATTCGTGCCGAAGCTTGGCTCTCCCACATTTGACACTCACAACTTCTTTTTTTGAGGGTCAAATCATCAAATTACTTTTCTCGATATCAGAGATTGTAACGAGTACATTGCAGGTTTTAGTTATTTTGAAGATTAGGGACAGGAATGGGGGTGTTATATCTATATTAAGATTTATTTAGCGTCTTGTTTTATGAGCACATAACATTATTAACAACGTAATAAGCACACTTTTTTAGCAATAACAGTTATACAGATTTTCCCTTCTTATAAACATTATTTCCCCTAATTCTGTATTCGGTCAACGGATATCTGCAGTAATATTAGTAATAAGATCTTTGTTTAATTACACTTTCTTCGAGTTTTTTTCGGAAGGGACTTTTATTCAAATGAGTTGGAAGTTTTCACCAAAATTGGAATATAAGTTGTGACGTCTGTGATTCCTAAGTGCGGGCTCCGTTATAAGCGGAGCGGATAGCGAGTAGACGAAAAAAAATCGCAAAGATAGTTTGTTAAGTTTTATGATTACATCGTTTGTTGTTTTTTTTTTTATTTCAACTGAGTTTTCTTGACTGCTTCGTTAGAAAATATTGTAAGATTTACATGACCTGATACATTGATACATTATACTTTTATGCTCTTTTGGTTTGGTAATATTAGAATTCGACTTTAACAGCACAGGCAGTCTTTTAGCATGATGTTTTGGGAATAAAATAGTTATTAAACAGAGTTAGACAGTTAATTTAAGTAATCATTAAATTATACAAAGTAGTACGGCAGTAGGTATTGCTTATTTTGTTACCAGGTTCTATGGTATGGTGATAATAGATAATTACTTGGCCTGGTGCAGGAGAAGGACCAAGATGTTTTTCGTCAGTAAGAGTCTGACACTCCGTCTTGTTTATGTAATAGACAGGCAAACGAGCAGACGGATTACCTGATGGTAAGCAATCAGCGCCGCCCGTAGACACCCGCAACATAGGAGTTACGAATGCGTTGCCGACCTTTTTGGGGATTAGGGATTTGGAGATTTAGGGATTGGGGGAGGGGAAGGATTGGGTCTCTGGTAACCTCACTCACACGGCGAAACACAACGCTGTGGTTGTTTCACGCCGGTTTTCTGTGAGGCCGTGGTATCACTCCGGTCGAGCCGACCCATTCGTGCCGAAGCATGGGTCTGCCGATCAATTATAATGTTCCCCCTTTTAAAAAGTATCTCTAGTTCCTCTCAATACACGATAGATGGCTCTCAACGATCGCTGTCCATATTTAGGTGTAACTAGATTATTGTAATTTAGTTTCGCAACTACGCCGTGGCTATTAATTGATTAACTAGTTTAGTTAGCCCTTGGATAACAGATTTAGCTGTTATAGCCTTATAAACCGATTGGAAGCTAAATGTATGTGATATTATTACAAGTTTAGAAATACTTTTTAGTTTTACTAAATACTCAACAAAAATACTCAAATCATGTACCTACCTATAAGAAAATAGATGTTATATAGAAAAATCTTTGTCGTATTTCATCCAAATATGTTCAGCATTTCTGGCGTTGTACTAAGAAATAATCACATATCCAAACTTTCATATATGTACATACAACCATTAGAAGATTTTGAATTCCAAAAACACGAGATGATTTTAATTATAAGTGTGTGAGACCTCAATCTCACGGAAATCGCTGTGGAATCTCACTCTGTGAAATCTGACTTCAAGCGCCATTTACGTATTGTTTTACCGTGGATTGAGGTTACCTTCGGCCCAATCTTTCCCACCCCCATCCCCAACTCTTAAATCCCTAATAACCCACCAAAGTTCGGCAAAGCACTTGTAACTCCTTGAGCGGCGACGAATGCTTACCATCAGGTAATCCGTGTGCTCGTTTACCGCACTTTTACGAAAACTATTCATTTTTCTGTCATTAAGTCGTTGCTATCCGCTGTCTCTTATCGAAATGACACCTACCTTATCTTTATTACATAAAATGGCTGCCGTCCTGAAGATATTTGAATAATACCGATGTCTCCCCGACTTAATCGTTCAATAACATTATGACAGAAGTAATCCGATTTTAGTATCATCAAACTTTATCTCGAAATGGGTGGGCAGATTTCTAAATGTTTACAATAGCTCTAGAAATGAAGACTTTATTAAAGATCCTTTTTAAGATTGCTTTTTTAATTTAGTTCTTGATTGGTCTAGTTTTGAAAGCGGTTAGTGAGGATTTCAGGGATTCTATTTTTTTCTCTTTATGTGATAAGGACGTAAACGAGCAGATGGGGTCACCTGATGGTAAGCAATCTTCGCCACCCACGAACACTAGCAATACTAGATAAATTAAATAATGGCAATGTCGGATTTTTTGGGGTTGGGGATTGGCAATTTCGGGATTAGCGATTGAGTCTGAGGCAACTTCACTTACCTGATCTGATGAAATCGCTGATTCATGCTGGTAATCCATGTGAATTTCTTTAAGATGTCGAAATAGGATCGCAATGCTTGGGCCACACTACCTGGAAATGCCATTTATTATCGCGATAATGGACGTTTATCGTGGACGTCAATTGATCACTAAGCAAATGATTTAAGGTATATTTTTCATTGTTTGATATCATCAAATAACGCGATAATTATTGACATTTCCCAACAGTGTGCTCCAGCATAAAACTACGATAACTATGTTTGTCTTCAGTAAAAATCTTTAACATTAGTTACGTTATTATATTTTATGAAAAACTTACTTATGGCTGATGATAATAATATAGGCATAATATTAATTTTCTAAGTAAATCAATGGAAATTAGATCATTTGAATATATGCTTTAGTTAAGTAAGGAATAACTATTCGCACTAAACATTTTTGTAAGTTTTGACTTTCAACTCCTTTCGTTTTGTGATAAGATCGAAATTTACTTGGTTTTTCTTTTGTATTTCATGTGTATATTTGTCAAATGATTTCCTTAACCCCTGGCCACAAATTTGAAAGTGTGGAATCGGCGACGAGAGCTAAAGAAGCGCTACACGGCTGTGACATATACTCGGGATGTTGCACACTCAAAATCGAGTTCGCTAAGGTGAGTTTTATACTTTATTCTCATAGTTATAAGGTTTATTTCTACTTATGCTTGTTGTTAGGGTAAAGTCATCTGTATGTGTGACTGTTTTGATATGCAACTTTTTTCTTTAAAACTGCCTTTTTGTTTACAAGTGAAAAGTTTTTCGTGTGATATCTGAGTTAGTAAATGTATAAGTTTATCATAGTTTTTCATATTTTTATTTATTTATTTCTCTATAAACTGTTATATAGGACAACTTACAAAATAATTCTTCACAACCTTTTATCGGGTACTAAACATTTCACAAAAATGAGCAATTGAATTGCCAAAATCGTCAATTTGTTAAAAACATAAAGAGTATGTGTTCAACATACTGTTTTGAGACATCTTTCATTTGCAAACAGCGTAATATTTTCGTGATAATTAAAACTAACATACACATATTAAGTCATAAAATCAGTGATGTGCATTAAAACAATGAATTTAATTTTGTAAATAGGCCATAAAACGGCACTTTTACACGTCCAAATTTAAAAAAAAAAACTAGATGAAGCCGGCATTTTCTATCTGACTACTCTGAGAAGAAATCCCAAAACAAACTCACATTACACATTAGCACAACATTAATTGATATGGAGCCCTTGCTACACAGTATGGGTATATTTTTGAGTAAATTTTTAATTTTGTCAGTTTCCAATTTATGTATGTGTAGCTAAAATCAACGAAGTAGGTATGTCATAAAAATTAAAAAAGTGAAATAATTTATTTTTAACCTACATAGGTCTAGTAGCCGATTGTCAAAAAAGTGACATTTTCATCTAAGTAAACGGTCCTCACCTACGCACGTCTAGACGTAGAAGGTGGCCACACAATTATCGTCCATCGGTCAGTAACTCTATCCGCCAGGGGGCGCTTAAGTGTGCTCTCAGGAACGCAACGTTTACGTTTACCCTAGTGTAAAGTTACAAGTGCTTTTACCGCAAGAAATGATGACGAGTTATTGTTGCTTTTACCCTAGTGATTTTTTTAAGTGATAGATATTTTTATTATATTACTAGCGACCCGGCCCAGCTTCGCATGGGTGCGATGCTGATACTAAATTTATACACTTTTTAATTAATGTTATTATACATATAAACCTTCCTCTTCAATCACGTGACCTTATTTTATACTACATATGTAGGTAGTCATAACAAGCTTGAAATGGAATTTTGCAACTAAATCTCAAAACTTCTTCAAGTTCAACTGTTTGAGCTGTTTACCCACCAAATTGTTTGTTTTTTTAATAAAAATTATTTATAGTGGAATTTGCAACTGTATGTTTAAGCAAGATGCTTTACCCGCTTGAAATTTTTTATACACCATAAAATTTGCCGTCTCAAAATAAAACCTTTTTGGATAGCATCGTATTCGTTTCCAACCAACAGAATACCACAATTACCATACCGACCAGCTTTTTTATGAAACCTAATAGAATTTCATTTAACTCAATCCTCATTACAATCAGAACCAATTGGTGCTCGTCAAAGCGGGCGACGCACAAAAGTAACGGCGTCCGTGCAAATTTTGCTTACTCGCCCCTTTCCGCCGTGAGCGGGCATTGCGAGGAAAAAAATGGCGACTGCAACGTCCCGCGACCGTGTAGCCGTGGGTAGTATGATAGGACTCGGGTGACCATCATTTTAATCCTGACCTGTTTTTCTACTATTGGACTTAAAAAATGTGTGATTAGACCTAATTTCGTAACTATAGACAGTGTGTTTTATTAGTATTTTCTTCACCATCTTCTGGTTTATTTCTTTATGGGACCCAAGGAAGACATTCATGTTTCTGGTACTTGCCAGACTTCAGTGTTCCGGTTTTGTAATGGTTGTTACTACTATAAGTCTGGTCTTACAGGAGTTGCAGCAGTTTTGGGTGTTGTAGTTTATTTGTCCCAAGAAAAAAATTTATGGTATGTATGACAACAAAAATATGTACTTCGTGAATTGATTTTTCTATGTGATAGGGCGGAAAACGATTTTATCGATTATCTGATGCTAAGCAATCGACGCCGCTCATGGACACTCACAACACCAGTAGAGTTCCGAGTGCGTTGCCGACCTTTTGGGGATTATAAGCTATCAGAGATTTCGGGATAAGGGGAGCGATAGGGCTCCCTCTATCGCTCCCCAATCCCGAAATCTAGGCTTAAGGGAAGGATTAGGATTAGGCACACCGAAATGCAATAGTTAATAGTTTAGATGTTTCACGCAAATTTTCTGTGAGACCGTGGAATCGCTTCAGTCGAGCCGACCTATTCTTGCCGAAGCTTGACTCTCCCACACAAATTGTGACTCTGACGTAAAGCTCTATACGGGAATATCCGCCTATATCTAGTCTCATAGTCAACCTACTCGCCCGTTAGGTCGGGGACTTCATTTGAAAGCATTGTTCGAAATAGCCCATCTTTTTATTCGATTCCTATCCCTTACAGTACGAGTGTTCGATGAAATTTTGGCATATTGACAATTTGTTCTGGAAATTTTTAATTCAGGTAACGTTGTCTTTCTAATAGCCAATAGATCACCACATAAGGCCGATGTTTAGCCGGGGCAAGTGCAATAAGAAACCGCGACGTGGGCCTGAAGCAGGAGAAGGAACGGGGTATTAGTCCGTGAGAGAAGTCATTTAAAGATATACTTTCCTTAAAAAAAAGTATATTGGTCTTAATTACAGTGTTGTGATTATAAATTGCCCAAAAGCTTGCAATAAGTCAAAAGAAAGAGAACTAAGACCATTAGCGTAGCATAGCAGTCACACCAAAAATAACTATAAAATAAATATTATATTTTATATTTGGACAACACACAATAAAAGTTGCATTTATATTTATTTCACTTGGATGTATCCCGTAAAATAATTCTGATTCTGAAATGTCGAGCTTAAAACAAAATAAAAATAAAAGACGTATTATAAATTTAAAACGGTAAAATAAAGCTTGTGTATCGCGTTCTCTCACTCCGAAGCCCTCTTTAGCAATTCAGAAAAATGAAGAGTGCACCAGTTTACCGACACCCGCCACGGGGCGGCGATACAATAAAAAAAAACGTTCCAATTCGAATTTCGAATGCGAGCTATTTGCTTGACAACCGTCGCACTGTTTGGACGTGTGTCGCAGCAATCGAAAGAATAAAAATTTTACAGTTTAAATGTTCGTCGAGTTCTTATTTCAAATTGGATTTTGATGCGATTAAAGAGTACCTTTTGTATTTATCGAGTTGTCGTAGTATCGAAGCCGAACAAGGAATTTCTAACACCAGAATATTTTTTTATTTAATGTTTTGTTAGGCAGTCTAATCCATTACCGGCAATAGTCGAAGTCGAACAACTAAACGGACTCAGAAACATTATTCTTAGTTACCTACTATGCAGCGCTCTCTAATGAATCTGAACATTTCATTCAATCTTCAAGTGGTATGGCGAGTTTTGAGATATTGCAAACCCCTTTATGTAGAGTGCCTTACACCAGCACTACTTGCTAATCTCAGGGGTATCCAATGATTCAGCCGGGGTTGCGGGGTAAGCGCAATGAGGCACCGCGACCTCGCCCTACACCAGGAGTACCAACGGGGGGTTTTTTAGTTAGTAAGAGTCTGACACTCTCTCTCATCTTACCCTAGGCGGGAGAGGTCATTGTATGATTTTCCCCTGACAAAAAAGAGGTCTCCAATGATATTATTGATACTACGACCTCACAGCACTGGCGTGACACAACTCGTGCGTTATATTTCACTTTAAAAAGGTTACGGAAGGCCCAAGTTTTCCCTTGAAATCGATTAATCAAACCCCTATCTACAAAAAGCTGATAACGCAATTGCAAACTGCTCCGTTCCCGTGTAGGACCGGGGCCGATTGCTCAGTATTAGATGATCCGCGGCTCCTTTGCCACCCAGACGCTTTGGTAAAAGGTAATTAATAAACTGTCAGGTATGAAAACCTAGCGACGAATGCGCGCCGTAATGTTGATATGACGGGCGCAGGCTGCGTACCACCTATTTAAAAAAATGAGTGTGCCACAGATTAGCGAGTTTGATTGACGTATTGCATCGTTCCCTTTTTACCGCGCAAATATATAATACAAACAAATTTAATAATATCTATTTTGGATTTTTTTCAGATACTCAATTTCCAAGGTCACTTCTCTCCCTCTTTCTCTCTCACTTCCCTAACTTTTAAAGTGCAGAGCTTTGACTTTGGTATCGCCAAATCATAAAGTTGGACAAGACGAAAGCTTTCGTGCCGGCTAACCTGTTGTAACGAGTCGCTAAAAGCTCTCGTTTGAAGAGCTCCATGTAAGAAGCTCGTTCCTGTACACTGCTAGGGTTGTCACGTAAAGAATTTGTAGTAAAAATTATGTTGTATGTAGTAGTGTAATCTTGAATAATTTGCATTTTAAACAGAAGATGAAATATAAAGTAAGTAGTAGTGAACCACTGATAAGTTGTGGTTGACAATTACAAAACAAAAAACGTCTTAATGTTTTAATAAAAAAATGCCGTAACACTCGCATCAAATTCTTTCCAAAAACACATCGTAAATAATGATACCATTCTCATAATTTCTAACAAGGAAAATATCATTTTTCTCAATATTTTCCTCCTAAAAATTCTATACAAACATATTCATCAAAAACGACAACAACGACGCGACATTATATTATTTTACACAATAGATCGACCTGCACAAAACGGCTTTAAAAAATACACAAGTTGCAAATACGTGGCACGTGACAGCCCTGACAATATGACCCTTACACAATCGATCCCGGCTTCCGTACACAACATAATAGGGTTGACAATACGCCGCTAAACGTTCCATTATTGTGACACCCCTCGTCTTAGCAACACTAATGGTACATTTTTTGGGTACAAAACAACCCTATACACGTTTTAATACAATCATAGTTCAGGTGGGGGTTGTAAATATTGTGTTTATGTTGTTAGGGTGAGTTTTGTACAAAACGACGAGAATTATTC